GTCATTCAATCTGGATTTTCGTGATAGAGTGTTCGTCTTTGATTTAGGAAGTTACATATAATATTCAAGGTATGTTTTAATTTTTATTTATCGTTAATTACATTTCGTTTATTTGATTTGATTTAATTTAATTAATTAAATCATTGTTATAATAAAATAATTGTGCAATGAAATTTTGCCTCGTTTTAAGCGATATTAATTTTGTGCCGCTTGATTTTGCACGAGGGTTTCTTAAGTCACTTCAATAATTATATAGTGTTTAATTGAATGTGACTTACAATTCGAATAAAATTTAATGGTGTAAATAATTTTGTGCAATTTCACATAACCTCTATGTGCATGTTTCTTATTTCTTGTATATTTTTCAGATCCTGAAGATACACAAAACGCTGGTGATGTCGAGACATTCGCCTTCCAAGCTGAAATTGCTCAGCTTATGTCTTTATTATTAATACATTCTACTCTAACAAAGAAATCTTCTTGCGAGAATTGATCTCAAATTCATCAGATATGTAAGTATTTAAGTGAGACCAAGTCACTTGATCTACATTTTTTTTTTTTGATATATTTCATTATATATGAAATTATTTTCTAATACTATTCTTTTTCGTCTAGGCTTTGGATAAAATCCGCTATGAATCCCTTACTGATGCATCTCGCTTGGACAGCGGCAAAGATCTCCACATCAAGATCATTCCTAATAAAAGTGAGGGCACGCTCACCATTATTGACACAGGCATTGGCATGACGAAAGCTGATCTTGTGAACAATTTGGGTACAATTGCGAAGTCTGGAACTAAAGCCTTCATGGAAGCCTTACAAGCTGGGGCCGATATTAGTATGATTGGTCAATTTGGTGTTGGTTTCTACTCGGCCTACCTCGTCGCTGATAAGGTCACAGTCACATCTAAGCACAATGATGATGAACAATACCTTTGGGAATCTTCCGCAGGAGGTTCCTTCACAGTTAAGACTGACAACTCTGAACCCCTCGGCCGTGGTACAAAGATTGTATTACACATCAAAGAGGATCAAACCGAATTCTTAGAAGAAAACAAAATCAAAGAGATCGTCAAGAAACATTCACAATTCATTGGCTATCCAATTAAATTATTGGTAGAGAAGGAACGTGAAAAGGAGCTCAGTGATGATGAAGCTGAAGAAGAAAAGAAAGAAGGCGAGGAGGATGATCAAAAAACCAAAAATTGAAGATGTAGGAGAGGATGAAGAAGCGATAAGAAAAGAAAGAAAAGAAAAAAAAGAAGACTATTAAGGAAAAATACACTGAAGATGAGGAACTCAACAAAACCAAGCCCATCTGGACCAGAAATGCCGATGATATAAGCCAAGAAGAATACGGTGAATTTTATAAGTCACTTACTAATGACTGGGAAGATCATCTTGCCGTCAAACATTTCTCAGTTGAGGGTCAACTCGAATTCAGAGCTCTTCTCTTCGTTCCAAGACGTATGCCTTTTGATCTCTTTGAAAACAAGAAGCGCAAGAACAATATCAAGTTGTATGTCCGCAGGGTGTTCATTATGGATAACTGTGAAGATCTCATTCCAGAATACCTCAACTTCATGAAGGGTGTTGTTGACAGCGAAGATTTGCCATTGAACATTTCTCGTGAGATGCTACAACAAAATAAAATCTTGAAAGTTATCCGCAAGAATCTAGTCAAGAAATGCTTAGATCTGTTTGATGAATTGTCTGAAGATAAAGATGGCTACAAGAAATTCTATGAACAATTCAGCAAGAACTTGAAACTTGGTATTCATGAAGACAGTCAAAATCGTGGTCGTTTATCCGAACTTCTCCGCTACCACACTTCATCTTCAGGAGACGAAGCTTGCTCTCTCAAGGATTATGTTGGTCGTATGAAAGAAAACCAGAAGCACATCTACTTCATCACTGGTGAGAACAAAGAGCAAGTTTCAAACTCATCCTTTGTAGAACGTGTCAAGAAGCGTGGATTCGAAGTAATCTACATGACAGAACCAATTGATGAGTATGTTATGCAGCAAATGAAGGATTACATGGGCAAAACTTTAGTTTCTGTCACAAAGGAAGGTTTGGAGTTGCCTGAAGATGAAGATGAAAAGAAGAAGCGTGAAGAGGATAAGACTAAATTCGAAAGCCTTTGCAAGGTTATGAAGAATATCTTGGATAACAAAGTAGAGAAAGTAGTTGTGAGCAACCGATTGGTAGATTCACCCTGTTGTATTGTAACATCACAATATGGCTGGACAGCCAACATGGAAAGAATCATGAAGGCCCAAGCTCTTCGCGATTCCTCAACCATGGGTTACATGGCTGCCAAGAAACACTTAGAAATTAACCCCGATCATTCTGTGATTGATACTTTAAGACAAAAGGCCGATGCTGATCCAAAGGATAAGGCCGTTAAAGATTTAGTTATCTTACTTTTCGAGACAGCTTTGCTGTCATCTGGTTTTACTTTAGATGAACCCCAAGTTCACGCTTCAAGAATTTACCGCATGATCAAACTTGGTTTAGGTATTGATGAAGAAGAGCCAATGCTCGCTGAAGATGAACCTGCCAGCGGTGACTTGCCTCCACTTGTTGGTGATGCAGAAGATGCGTCAAGGATGGAAGAAGTTGATTAGGCTGTTTTCCAAAAATTAGGTTATCAAATTATAGATTTTAATGTCATTAATTTGTCATTTCATTTGTTTATCATTCCTCTTCACTTTATATTATGTTATTGTATGAGTATTAAATTGACTGAATACAAATTACTCTATAATTGAAATATTTTCTTTAATTTACTTAAGTCATTTGCAATACTTTTATTTCAGGACTTCAATAGTAAAGTGATTATTAAATTATTAATTCAATATTAAATTAAATAATCTAAATCTATAATTAAATTCATTGAAATTATTAAACGTAAAAAATGCAGCTGCTGCTAATAAATAATAATTTCCAATTACATTTGCTGTTGGTACTAAATTTAAATAAACACAAATTTAATTTTCATACTAATTAAATACTTCTGTGCTAGTGTTCGATATTGCATTAATAAACAAAAAATATTACATAAACTAAATTCAAATAATTCATAATATATGAATTTGAATAAAATGTGAATTTTATATTTGGTACTTGGTTTAAAGTTACTTTACCTAAACAGCATTATAAATAAGTGTGAATATTCTAAATTGTGCAAAAGCTGTGAGTGTAGTGTTCGTTCATATTTACATCTTCAATATGTTTTGTGTGTGCATAGACTTTGTAAATATTATTTATTGTATAATAATGCAATTGTTATTCACATAACAGAATTCAGTTAATATAACTTGATAAGTGTGTGAATATAATAGTTGAATTTTACTCGTGAAAGTGCTTATTATTATTAACACAAGTGTGGTTTCTCGAACAAACTGAATATGGTATGTATATATAAATTGAAATAATTCAAGATTAAAAAATACAATTTAGTTAAAATGTGTAAGATTATAACGTTGTACAAAAAGTTATTAACTTTTTAAAAGAAGTTTCGCCAGAAAATTCGATTTTCTAATTTTGCTCTTTCGACGTTTCAAGTCATTCTGAATCATTTGACCTTACAATTGGAAAAACTGTGTGCGTGTGTACGAGAGCAAATGTGCATGTGAGCCAAAATAAGATCTTTCGTCGAAATTTTCTCAGGGCCGCCTGAACCGATTTCAAAATTTTAAAGACCTTTGATGAAACTCGTTAAGGACTCGCTTTGATTAATTTTGCGAGACGATCGGCCGAACTGTTTTCTTATAATTAGCAAAAAAGTGCAAGGCTTTTCATTGTGCATTGTGCATTTGGTTGTGTTTCATACTGATTACTGTGTTGATGCCTACACTTAATTGAAAACACAAAGAAGAACGAAATGTGTTAATTAAATTCAATTTTAAATATAATTTAAGATACAGGTAACCCCCGCATAACACGGTACTTCTATAACACCGATTCGCTTTAACGCCATTTAATAATTGAGACCATCTCCCTCATAACACGGTACTTCTGGGTTCGCATAACACGGTTTGAATTGAGGGAAGTTTTAGTAAAATAAGAAATATAGTAAAACCTATAAAAAGCAGACTTTATTTAATTAATTTACTAAAATAAGTAAAATTGCCGTACAATAGCTCCATAAATGTGATGAAACTAGTGCAAAAGATAACTAATTTGATATAAATTATTAGAGCGCGTACGTTCTATCGAAAAAAAATTTAGGATTATCCGAATAATATATTAAATAATTCTTAAGCAATTCTTTAAATAAAATGAGCATAAAAGTTTTTTCTAAAAGCATGTAATCGCAAATATAATTTTTTTGGAAAAAATAATATACGGATCTGAAGGTAGTATAGAAAACTGGTCAGAAGATGAGGATATCTTGCAAAAAAAAAGATCATGCTGGATAGGACTTAATGTTAATTATGACGAAAAAAATCATATAATTCAAGTAATGTATATTACTTCTTAAAAGAATTAATAAGTGTAACAATATTTATTATAACATCATATGTAGCATGTATTTTTGAATTCTTGGAACGTAACCCCTCTTTTGGTACTAGTTCTTTGTCCTTTATAACACGGATTATCATATCACGCTAGTTTTCTGGAACGTAACTACTGTGATGTACAGGGGTTACCTGTATTCTAAATATTTTTGAAAAATATCAATTGGAAATTGAATTTATTGGTTTTTGTGAAAGCAAAACCTTTATTTTTGAAATAAACATATTCTATGTAAATAGCTAAATCTCAATTTTTATATTGTTTAATTTGATTATTTGCAAGTATCGAGAAGTTTATTCAACTTGCCACCTACAACTTGCATTTTATAACTGAAAATATGATAATTTTATAATATAATAAATAATAATAATAATAAATAGAGTAAACATAAATAATTATTGCAATTTATTACCAAAATTACAATTATAAAATTAATTTAAACATGTTAAGTAATACTTATATATTAATATTAACAACTATTCAGTAATTTCACCAAGTTCTTCCTCATCACCTCCGATAGCTCTCCAAAATGCTGCAACAACTTGTTCTGCATGTGCTTTTCTTTCATTAAGTGGTAGAGATCTTACACTCTCTTTCATAGACAATAATTGTGAAAATAATTCTGAGAAATCATCTGATGTGTCTTCAGTATTGGGATCACCTGAAAATTGCAAGATTTACATAAACTTGTCAAAAATATTTCAAGCACTTATTCTAACAACAAAAACGATAGGCCAATATCTCACCTAAGAACTAATGAATAGAAATAAAAAGTATAATCCTTTCTAATGTACTACTTGAAGACTTTGATTTTATCATAAACTGTTTAATCATTCAATTAATGCTGAATGAACTTATGCCAAGAGATTATGTGGGTCTGAAAAAACTTCAGTTGTTACACATTCAATAAGACACCTTTTAGGCATAAAAATATTGATAGCTCACTAGAAGAAACTTTTTATTTCATTATAGATTTGATGTGTCCAAAGGAAATTTATAAATGCAATATTTTCTTCTAGATCACCGATCATTTAAAATTGAAAGCCATTGTGGGTAAAGTCAAATTATATATCTGAATGTAATTCAAAATAAGATAAGTAATAAGAAATCTTAATATTATTTTTAGACATTCACAATGACATTCACAATTGATTATGACTTTTGTCATATCATATTAAAAATTTCACCTTTCATAGTAGCATTAACCCAATGATGTGTATGCAATGCTTCAATGACCCTATCAATTCCAATTTTTTCTGGAATGATTTCATCATCTTCTAAATCTTCTTCATGAGTCGGCTTACTCGTTTCTATGGGATTTAATTCAATGAGCTCGAAATGATGCTTAAGACACCAATTTAGTGCTGACTCTCTTGTTTTACTTGACACATTCGAACTGCATGAGTTGCATACTAAGAGCAAAATTTCAGCTTGGTACTGCTTAATCTTTTCTTCAATTGATTGAAGGCAGGATATTGCATCTTCCTTAGAGAAAATATAATTTTTATAATCAACTATGATATAGAAGTTTTTAATATATTTTTGTGGAAATGCGAATAACTTTGATATTTATTTATATTATTCAAATTATGCATATTGCTGGAAAAATAAAGTCGAACCATTATTAGTACAATTAAAAGATATATGTTCAAACTTAGAAATATATAAATTGAAAATTTTCTTGAGGCAAGCAGCGTTAAAAGATTTTCAAGCGTTTTACTGAGGTATCTAATTATGAATAATTAATGTTCGAATGTATAAAGCCCAAGATTTGTGGATTAATATTATACAGTACAACAGTTCTAAATATATTTGTCATAACTAGTAGAAAGTGCTTTTAAGTGTTACAGATTATTAGGATCTGAATAACACATTAGTTTTTACAAACAAAAATTGAAAGACACTATGTGCAAAATATGCAGAACTTGTTATTTCAGATAATTGGATATAAAATAAAATACAAATGATATTTACTTGTTCTGCATCGAAATATATTACAAGAGCTTCAACCATTTGCAGTATATCATTAGGCATATTATCATTAACTTCGACAGGACATATATAAGCTTCAGCATTGTAATATTTGGTGTCAATTTTCCATTTATACCCTGTGATATTATTTCCTAAAGTAGTCCTCAGTGGTAATTGATCACATCGCAAAATTCCTGAAACAATACATTTTAAAATTTACGATGTAATTAACTAAATATTCGTCGATTTAAAGTGAAAGAACCTTTAACAAGATTTTCAGCAGATAAATCAGTGATTCCTATGACAGAAACTATTGGCATCATTTTATGAGGAGAATTTAATTAATATTGTTCGACGTCTATTGTTTATTCTAATTGTACATATCTATCATAAATCGAAAGAACTGAGGTGATATTTAACGAACGAGTTGTCAAATCTGGCTAAATAATAAATTTCGGTTTTCGAGGCTTAATACCCGTAGTCATACTCTGATGTGTATAAGCCTCCATAGCTCAGGGGTTAGAGCACTGGTCTTGTAAACCAGGGGTCGTGAGTTCAATTCTCACTGGGGGCATTTTTTGTTTTTTTATTTTACTAACTATTTTTTATATTTTATTATTAAATTTAATATAGATTTTATTTTAAAATATCTGTTAATAATCATTAATAATCATTAAAAACACTTTTTTTGCGTTTACAAAACTTCTTGTTAGTGCATAGAACTACACTGTTGTCACTTGTCAGGCGGTTCGTGCCTTAACTGTAACTAATTAACATACATTCTTTATTTAGAAATATCATTCTCAGCTGTGTTTTTAATAATAATTTGCAAAATTATTTTATTTAGTTTCCCCTCATGATTTTTTACTTTTTTCCAGATGATAGTTACTTCGTTTAGATATGAGGTGATGTAAGGTGATTTTATAGGATGCAATTATTTTTTTCGTATCGTTTATTTATTCTGTAATTTATGAGTAAAAATAAAATTATAATTTAATATAGATATATAGTTCATATAAGTTAATAATATTAATAAAATAAAAATATATTTTTATGTTGCAATGGAATAATCTATACTAGATTGTGCAGTGGTTTGTGTATTAACTGCATGTATATTATTATTTGTTCCATAATATTTTCAACTGACTATCTTAATATTGATGATTATTTGCATATTTTCTTCTCATAAGTAATGATAATTTACAATTTTTACATTTAGATGTAAAGTAATTTTATAAAATACAGTAGTTTTTTATGTAGCATTTTCTGTAATTTTTGCGCAAAAATAAGAATATATAATAGATGTACAGTTCATCTAAAGTCATTAATATTGATAAAATATTAATTTATGTATTTTTAGTGTTGTTGCATTAATATGATCAGTACTATATTGTGCAGACATCTGTCGACTAAAAATATACGATCTTCCAATTCGTTTTATTCGATTTTAATTGTTAATTTTAATTTAAGTTAAGTTAAGTTTAACTGTTATTTAATAAACGATTAACTTATTCTATTAGTCGGTTGAAAATAACGATTTAGTTTTGACATAACACTATTTAACTCTTTCCACTCGGATGCCGCCGCTCCGACTGCAAAATACACGCAAATCTCGCATTTCGCGAGTGGAAGGGGTTAAATAGTTGATCTAGTTCAACCTATAAAATTTATTTATGTAAATAAATGATAAACTGCTGTATGGCATCGTGCCTTAAGGCAAATTGCTGGAACTTTCCTTACCGTCACGAAATGTTCGAGGAATATTAAATGTTTTCAAATAGATTATTATAAATAAATACTGTACCATTGTCTTATATTTATAAGAATCATATAAACTGAATCACAAACTCAAAAATATTTATTTAAAGTATATAAGTGAGCTTTAAAACTTTATCAAGAATTAAAATTGAAATCTGAATTATTTTCGATATACAAAAAATGAAAAAAAAGAATTGAAATGAAAATTTTAATTTCAAATTCCAAAAGCAATTGTTTTGTTTTCAACACAAGCAGAAAGTTTTTAGAATCATTCAATTGGGATGCTTATTTCTCTCAGACATTTTTTCTACATTTAGCTCTGTATTTTTGAAATGGCTGGACCTGCCTTTGCCAAAAACTAATCCGCACATCCCCCTATCAATAGGAATCGAATGTTTTTCGAACCATTCAAATCGGTTGATCCGTGCGCCCGAAAACGTGAATTTGGTTTTTCGATTTTCGGCCCATTACTGTAACTACCCCATTGGAAGTTAATAATAAAATGTATAGAATAGAATAGTTTTAAAAGTTTTAGTAGTTCTAGTTTTTTTTTATATATTTCTGTTTAGATCAATTAGAACGTAAAACTTTGCTTAAAACTAGTTATTTATATTAAAATAGTTCAATTTATTCAAAGCCTTCATAATGGTTCTAATAATTAATATTTAGTTCCAGAAAACTGCCTAGATGGAGCCTCACTAAAAACTGCTTGTCAAAATCGATTGTTCGATGTCTTTTACCCAGTCTGTGTCCTGGTATTAAATTCAACCAAAATGACGTTTTTATCAATACTAAACAAAATGCTAAATTAAAGTTAAATTATTTACATGTCAATAAATAAATTTTATAATGTCTAGTTTGTGTGTATCTGAGCATTACTACAATTACGCAGTTCTTCATAGAGGTGAGTGTTATTATTTTACATCACTCATAATTTTGAGGTTAGAAATTTATTACATAAAATTGATTGTATAATTATTCCAAATATTTATAAAATATATATAATAGTTGCAACGTATCATTGCAGTGGTCAAGTTTAGTGGTTTTTTGTCATTATTTATGGATCAAATATACAATTATGAATTTTAATATTTTTGAGGTTATATTTCATATTTTGAAATTTGCTCTACAATAACTTTCACTGGAATAGTTTTTTTTTATCTTTATCTCTAGCTTTAGTGTTATTAATTTTTATAACTTCAATCAAAGCCATTCTAATTTAATTTGTGCTTTATTATCGTTAAAATATTTTCGTCACATACGATATTATTGTATTGTTAGTGACAGGCAATTAAATAAATTTTTCGTAAATAAGCTTTGTTCGTGAAAATAATTTAAATCTTTTAATCATGAATGAATATAATGTATTAACTTCCCGTAGGGTAAGTTATAGTGATCGCAAAAAATCGAAATTGAAATTTTTGCTGTGCTGGTTAGTTTTTGGCAAAGGCAGGTCTAGCCTTTTCGAAAATACGGGGCAAAAGGTGCCAAAAACGGTAATACAGTTTTTCAGGGAACAGAGCGTCCGATTTGAATGATTCAAAAAAGAATTTGCTTATACTGACAAAATGAAAAATTGATTAAATTTTTGGAAAGGAAGGTTTAACGGTTTCGGAGATACAGAGGAAAAAGTAAAAAAAAATGCAATCTTGCGGTCAAAAATGATCATTGGACATGTGTTCATCAAATTATCAGATATTTTATAAAAATTTAAATAATGAGTACTAATTTTGTCACAATTTTTTTGGGTTCCGTACCAAGATTTTTAATTTTTAAACAAATATCCAAGATTTTTCTTTATTCTTTATATATAAATTTATACTTCAAATATAAATTATAAACTAAATTTACAACTTATTTTACAAATGCATATATTTCATATACGTTTATTCTAATCGTAAGCAATATATCCTCAGATAGATGCCTCATTCGTCTTATTAAAGTAAACATTTTCAAGTGTTTTATACGATAAGATCTTTGCTATATAATATGAGAACATATTTAAAACAATTGTTATTAATTATTGATCAATATTTATTATTACTATTTTTTTCTCGAGTATTTAATTCTGGTGCGGGAAGTTCCAGCAATTTGTCTTGCATGGTGCCATGCACCATTAGTTTATTTTAAATTTGCGCTTTTTAACTTACCGAAGGGAGAATTTTTTTTGTCAGAAGTCCGAATCTGAATTGCTAATTTTGGTTTCTCAACGTTTGAAGTCGTTTTGAATATTTTGACACAAAAAACTGAGAGTTGTATGTGTGTGTGTATGAATGCGTGAACAAATATTTAACATTTCGTCGACGTGTTTTCAAAAACGATTGCATGGATTTCAAAACTTTTGATGAACATTTGATGAAATCCGATAAGGACTCACGATAATTAATTTTACGAGATGGTCGGCTTAGTTTCTTTAGAATTAGCAGAATAAAATTGTTATTTGTTGAGTTTTTTATACGAATTCAATGATACTTCATTTACTGTCAGAGTCCAAAGTCCCAACGAACATCCTGAAATATTAAGGGGTTTCGAAAAGTGGTTCAATTATAAATACTCATCGACGTTTGGAATAACGGGTCGTATCAGAAATTCAAAATTTTGTTATCACAATTTTAAAAGTTGATTGGTTAAGACGATTATCTTTCGTTGATTAAGTCGATCGGGAAGTTTATGCAACTTGCCTTAAGGCAAAATGCCACTTATACCGTATTAGTATATTGTTTCTTTCGTTGTATATTGATTCTTTTCAATTTTAATGTTAATATGTATATTTAGAATTTCTGATCAAATTCTGAATTAAGGTTTTAATAGTGACCAACTAATAGAATTTATTGTTTGTGAAATATGGTGTTAAAAAATTACAGAGATTAATCCTTTCGACTCGGATGCTGCACTGCCAAGGGGTACCAAAAGATTTTGATTAAAACAATTATGTTATCAATCCCTTGGATGCGGATATATTGTTAGTTTCAATTAGGTCTCAGAGTATGAAATTTATTGCCAGGTTCCGATTGTTACTTCAAGTTTATAAATCACATAGCATATGTGATAAGGTAATAATAAGGGTTATTAACAGCTACCACTTCATTTAATTTTCGATTGCATTACACATTCTACATTCAGCTGATCGCTAGGGCTTCCATACAGTGTTTTTTTTAGTCAAATATCTAATGTTGTAAAATCAATTTTTGATTATTACTTTTAACCCTTGGCGCCCGACTGTCCCATTTTGGGGACAACTTAGTTCCTTAACTCGGTAGTTTGTGTACACAATGACTCAGTTCGTATTGAAGCGCCGAATATAAAAAAATCTATTCTCAAGATTAATCAACCTGCGGCCCTGGGGCATCATGCGGATCTTTGAATATTTTTCTGCGGCCCGTCAAGCATTTCTAAAATTCTAATTTCCTTTATTTCATCAATTTTCTTCTATCAATAAATTAATTATAATGTATTCTAAAGAAACAGCGCAACCTTTTTTCGTTGCAATAATTTATCAAATAATTACTTTTTTAAATTTGGCATTTTTATATATTATTGTTTATTAGTACATACATACCAAGTTTTGTAAGTTATTAATAAGTGCGGCCCGCCATATAATTTTTAAAATTAAATGCGACCCGTAAGTTAAAAAAGTTGCTCATTC